AGTTGATTCTACCAACGAAAAGGAATGGCTTCGATACTGGAGTAGATCGTATGCTTTCTAGATCCACATGCTCTTATGATTCTGAATTAGTCATTGCTTATTGAGTGACAAAATTTAATCGGCCTAGCCATGTGGATTATTTAGCTCATGATGGTTTCTCATTCTTTTCATGAATGAGCTAATAGTACCCAGCCAAGCAGCCTGATCCCATGGTCATTTTGATGCAATTTGTTTTGCTTGGTATTCATTGCTGATAGCCTGTTGTTTTTTTGTCTCCTTATATTCACAATGAGCTACACTCGTGCATATCAAGACTACCTATTCCAATACATCATCTTTTAAGAAAACTATTATGCATGGCCTAATAAAGCTAGAAGCACCTATTTTTTCTTTCTTTCGCTTTTGTTTCTTTTGTTCTGTGCATCACAGAATAGTCCTGTACTTTTGAGGTAAAAACTTGTTTTTATGGTGTGGATTATTGGCTTAAAGAACAAAGGATGCCATTATATGTACCATTATCTACTTGTCACATCTTGATTGTGGTGGGGAAACAATTCTCAGGTTGTTTGTTGCCCTTGGGGCAGTGTACATGTTGAAGGAAAATAAGCCAGAAACTAGTGTTAAACAAGCTGTTTTAACCTCTAATTTCACTTTTAAAGTGGACAATCCATCCAATACCCCCTTTAGAAAGTTCAAATAGACAGTTATAGAGAATTGCCTGATATTCCGTAATTTATCAAGCTTTTGAGGTTTTTATATCTGTGGTCTTTAATGGAAATAATATTTGGACATCTTGCTAAAAATTTTAACTCATCAGTGGTTGTTCAATGGATATGGAGCTCGTAATTCATTGTTTTTGTGGCAAATTACATTGCACTGGATGATCCAAGCTATCTATTTATGGTGATGCTTTTTTATATATAATCAGTTATGAGTCCTGCAGTTGGTGATTTAATGTGAAGTATTTAATTTGATTTATTGTGAAGTATTTAATTGGCCTATCTTTTATTTTTGATAGCTTTTACTGAAGACCTCAATACATTTGAATCGGTACCATCATGGGATGCAGCAAGTGACATTTCTTCTCACCATGACAATGAAAATATTCATAGCGATAATGAAGACTCAAGTGATCTAGTTTCTAAACCTCGGCAGGTTAGCTTTGGCTCATGTTTATGTCAGAATCTTTTTTGGATCTTGGGTTATTTAAAGTTTGCGATATTTTGGAGCTCATTTAGTAATGTTGTTTTTTTTTTTGCAAAAGTTTGCGCATAAGGATCAATCTCACCTGCTGTTGTTCTTAAACTGTTCAATCTCATCTGCTGTTAACCGTTCTTATTCCAGTATATACTCTATAGACCTATTATCATTTTGTTCATTTTTTTTAGATGATACACCTAAAGCATACGAAATACATATATCACATACGAAATACATATATCCAAACACATAGCAATTTTGTGCTTGCTTGCTCCTCATCTCATGTTTAAATGGTGCAAGTGGGGCTTACGGTATGGTAATTTTTGTTCATTCTTGGTGTACATCTTCTTATGGTCGGCTATGAAGATGTCCTAACAAATAACTGAGATCTAGTGCAGTGTTTCAAAAAGCGTTAGGCGGAACCTAGGCGGTCGGGGGGATCCAGGCCGCCCAGTGCCTAGGCGAGCGCTCAGGCGGGCTCCCAAAACCTCGGCGGCCCAGTAGAAAAATATTATTTTTTGGGTTTTCTCTTTTAAAAATAGCCTCTAATGGGTTTTAGGTTCATTTGAAACCTAAAACCCACATTTTTTGCCCATATAGTATTAAAAAAAATCCAAAAATACCCTCAAAGAGCCGCATTTCTGCCCCTAGGTGGGGCGCAAGCCCTAGGCGGGCGCCTAGGCATGTTCAGGTGGGCTCCTAGGGATATCCGCCTAGGCGGCCGCCCAGGCACTGGGTGATTCGCTTTTTGAAACAATGATCTAGTGACCCTCAATATATCTTTTTTTACGATTGCCACAAAATACACATGGAAATATAACTAACAATTTCAGAGGAACTTTGGTACTTGTGCTAAAAATGCAACCTCCTACTCAAGAAACCTCTCCCTAAATATAATTTTCCATTTTAATATTGTCAGTGAACGATAATTCAGCCGCCGCCTAGGCGGCTTTTCTCCAAATAGCCTAGTCATGGGCAAGGCGGCATGCTCTAGGCAGGTCCATCTAGGCGCTTACCTAGGCTCTCAAGGTGCTTGCCCAAGCAGCATAAAAGGCGGGTGTCTAAGCACTACCTTGACCTGCACCTTCATTTAGCTGCTTAATACCAAACCAAAAAAATTTACAATTTCAGTTTTAATTAATATATGGAAGGATTAGACTTTTTATGCCACTTGTTGAAAACACTTTTTGCATGTAACAATAACCATGTGTAGTTATATTAATTTATTAGTAAACCACAAAATGGTATTACTTTAGTTTTAATTAATATATGGAAAGATTAGACTTTTAATGCCACTTATTGAAACAACTTTTTGCAGGTAATAGTCAGTGTTTCAGAAAATGCCCATTTTATATTAAAAAAAACATAAAACCCATGATTTTGCCCATTTTATATTAAAAAAAACCAAAAGATGCCCTCAATGAGAGGCATTTCTGTCGGCACTGGGCGCATGCCTAGGCGGGCGCCTGGGGACCCACCTAATTTGGCCACCTTGTCCTGGGCAATGGGCCTAGGCCTTTTGGACCGCCTAGGTACTGGGCGGTTTGCTTTTTAAAACAATGGTAACAGTAACCATGAGTAATATTAATTTATTGGTAAACCAGAAAATAGAAGGATTGGCATTTTTGCATGTAACAGTAATCATGAGTAACTATATTAATTTATTGCACTCCTTTCGTCTATTGTAAATCAGTTTGATAAATGTCTTGAAGTGCAACTTAGGTTGGAAAAATCAGGAATCATCCAGGCCGCCTTTGTGTCGGGGTGTCCTTGACTGCCTAGGTGGCCCCATCTGCATTTTTGAACCATGAATCATTGTCAGAAAGACCGGGCGATCTAACTGCTAATCGCCCAGTTAGATCGGAACCAACTAGTGGCCGGTTTCGGTTTTGGGCGGTTTTGGTGATCGACCGGTATTTTTTAAAAAAATATATATAAATTCCTAGAAATAAAGAATTTGGTTTGTAATGCATTTTTTAATTCTTTACATTGTGGTAAATATTATAAATTGTTTTTGTCACTAATACTCACTTTAATTAAAAAATTGATTCGTTAAAATCTATTTTTTTCATTAATTTTCAACTTCATTTGAATGTGTTTGGTTTTAATCATTCTTTATCGGGAAAATTACAAAAAACCCTCAAAACTACACTTTCTATGCAACTTACCCCCAACCTAAATTTTTCTCTTACTTTTTTTCCCAAAATATACTTTCTATGCAAAAACCCCGTAACCAAATAAAAAATAAAAAAGTGCCTAAACTACCCTCCCTCACTTTTACCTTCCCCATGCCTCTCTCTCCTCTATCCCACCAAAATAGGGGGCTCCGTCACTGTGTAATTGCGTTCCGATAGTAGCGCTCCGGTACTGTGTAAAGTTCGGTCCGGCATTAAGGTTCTGGCACTGTGTAAAGTGCGGTCCGACAGTAAGGCTTCGACGCTGTGTAAAGTGCGGTCCGGCAATTGAAAAAGGCAATCCGGCAGTTGCAAAGGGTGGTCCGGCAGTTGCAAAGGGCAGTCCGGCAGTTACAAAGGGCGGTCTGACAGTTGTGAAGGGTGGTCCGGCAGTTGCAAAGGGTGGTCCGACAGTTGCAAAGGGTGGTCCGGCATTTGTGCGCTCCGACAATATGATGGGACGCTCTAGCAATGTGCTACTGGGTCCAAAAATCAACTTCAAATTTGTCCAAAATGATTTTTGTGTATGGGAAGGGCATTTCAGTCTAAAAAAATGAACTTTTTTCCTTAGGGGATGTTATTTGCATTGAAAGTTTGTTTTGGGGAAAAAAGTGAGAAAAAGTTAGGTTGAGGGTAAGTTGCATAGAAAGTGTGGTCTTGGGAATTATTTGTTATTTTCCCTTCTTTATATGCTTTTCATATTTTAGTAGTTTTTTTTTTGTATCTTTTTTATTCTTTCAACACTTTGTTGACCACCTTGGACTTGCCTGGTTAGAATGGTTGAATCAGTCGATTTACCGGTTCGGCCGGTTAAACTGCTTCGGGGCCTTGTCCGGTTAACCGTTTCGGTTCGATTTTGCGAACACTGCCTTGAATATTGTCCTAAAATTCTTTTGACAACTAAGATCTTTAATGTGCTTCTACTCAGTGTTTTAAAATTCATCAAGTCTGACTTGGATTCGTTAGGCACACGGGTTCGGAGGGCTCCCGACTTGTGGGGGCTCCAACCACTGTTGGAAAAGCCGGGTGATCTAACCGCTAACCGCTCAGTTAGATTTGAATCGGCTAGTGGCCGGTTCCGGTTTTGGACGGTTTTGGTGATAGACAAGTATTTAAAATAAATAAATAAAACATGCTTATAAATTTTCAGAAATAAGGAATTTGGTTTGTAATGTATTTTTTAATATTCTTTACATTATAGTAAAGATTAATAATTGTTTTGGTTATTAATACTCACTTTATTTCAAAAATCAATTCGTTAAAATCCATTTTTTTCATTAATTTTCAACTTCATTTGGATGTGTTTTGTTTTAATCATTCTTTATATGCTTTTCATATTTTAATAGATTTTTTTTTTGCATCATTTTATTTTTTCAACACTTTGTTGACCGCCCGGGACTTGCTTGGTTAGAACGGTTAAATATGCCGGTTTACCGGTTAGGCCGGTTAAACCGCTTCCAAGCCCATGTCCAGTTAATTGTTTCGCTTCGATTTTGCAAACACTGGCTCCTACTGTAGCACTACTAGATTGTACTGTTATTTTGGTTTATGGTATATCCGTTTTTTTTTTTTTTTTCCTATTTTCTTGAGCGTTGGGAAGGAGCATTTTCCGGACACTTCCTGAGTCCTGGAGCACGTCCTGGTTTTACAGCTTCTATTACACTTATGACCTTGCATTTATCCTTCTTGCATTGCCTAATCCTTTTTGGCATATTATGTGTAGGAGTTTTTATAAAAGAAACTGTAAGGAAGTGCATTTTAAGAGGCAGAGTAGTGTATTTTCAATAATTTGAAACCAAATATCTGTACCTCCATGTAAATTTGTCTGGGGAAATCAATGACTTTGCCCCTGTGCTGAAACTGCATCGTTAGAAAAACAGTAAATAGTGAATCATGGGTATTGGGAATTCCCATATTTCAGCATTATTTTATAGCAAAATAACTAAGAAGTTGAAACATGGGTATTTGAAATACCTGAGCAGCCTTTGTTTTTTCATTGAAGTGGGTAAATCACCTGCAGCTCATGCATTTTTAAGAAAACTATTCAAGTGAAAATATGTCTTAGTAATAACCGTATTATTGTATTTATCCTTTAAAAGAATTTCATGTGTGCAATGCTAGCTGATTCGCTTGCCCAAGTTTCTGCTATCAGAATCAAACTAGTTAAGCCATGAAATATGGAAATGTTAGAAACCATATTTCACCAGATAACCATTTTATTAAAGGTGGTCGTTTTGGCAGAGGGATGATATTGTCTATTGCCCTTTTAATACATTTACCATGGAGGTCTAGATATTTGGTCTCAAAATGCCAGAAACCTGTATGCTACGTACTTCAAGTATGCATCTTCAATGGTTTTATTGTAAAAGTCCTTGTGTATGTGGAGAGTATATTATTTTTTCGCTTGATTTTCAGAATATTTTTGTTCTTCTCAATGGAAACATAAAACATTGATATTATTCCATCCACGTTAGAATTTTGTAATTTGTCTTCAAAGTTCGAATTTATCTTATATCATGGTCGTTTCTAGGTGAACAAAATTGAAGTCCAGTATGACAAGACTTCAAAACAAGTTGATGTTCATTCTTTGAAGGGGACGCTTTGGGAATGCCTTCAAAACTCTGTCGAAAAGATTGTGGTGGTAAGTAAATTATTGGTTATTCCAAACTTTAATGTTTTCTCAGTTCTCGTATGTTTGATTTACAATTGGCCTTTTCACTATCATTCACTATGGCATATTCTTTTGTTTGGGTGTGAACTCAACGTGAAAGTATGATGTCTTCTATGTATATTGGATTTGATGATTCCTCAAGGTGAATCAGTATATGAATTTTTTATTAGGTTGTAGTTTTATATATATCAAGGTATGCCAAATTAACTAGTAGTTTTTTCTTCCACCATAGAACATTATTCTGAGCTTCTATCATTTTTTAAAATTGTAGGGAAGCCAACTCTCTAAAATGGATTAAATTAGGTTTGCGTTTTAGGAACCTAGTGGATCAATAGGGTGTTGGGATTTTGAGAGGTTTCAATTGGTGGGAGGAAGTTTAGTAGGGGTATTGCATTCTAGGTTCGTGATGGATTCAAGATCAGATTCTAGGCTGATATATGGGTTAGAGACCCATCACATCTCTTCCAGGACTGGACCTTTTGGGCAATGCTTTTGAACTAATGTTTGTGTCGTGCCCCAGATTTTGTGAAGAACCTGAAGGATGGTGAGGTTGCTGATCTTAGCTGCCTTCTATGGAGTCTTACTGGATCTTTTTTATTTCAGAAATGGTTTTTTTTTTTTTTTTCTGATGAAAGAGGATGTTTGGACGGTCTTGGTGTCTTGGTCCCTTTTTATTTTCTTAGTTTCAGTTGATGCTGGCTCATTCCCTGCCCACTTCCTTTGGAATGTCGCTGCTCTGGCGAAGGATCTAAGTGTTTGGGTGGTTGGGTTGTTCGGATATGTTTCCTGGATAATCTTCAACATTAGGGCTTCTAGATCCCTTGCATTGGCATTATATATAATAATGTAAAAGGAGTATCGATCATCTCCTTACCCCTTCCAATTTTGCTAGGCCAGTTTGGAACGTTCAAAACACATTTGGAATTGATCGGGTTATGCATGACTGTGACTGCTTCATTGGTAGGTCAATCCTTGCATTGCACAACATGCTTCAGTAGATTAAAAGCCCCTTCACTTTCGTTTTTTGGAGGAGGTGGGTGTGTGTGCGTAGCTTCAAAAGAAACAGAATAGAGTTGTGTGTGTACACGTGCGTGTGCGCACGAGCGGCAATTAAGGTTGTGAGTGTGTGGGAATTTAAGGTTGTTAAAATAGAGAATCTCTATGATATTGGACAACACTAGCACTTATGGAACCCTTTGGTTTGGAATAGTATCAAGTCCCACTGTTTCTTAACTATATTGGACTTGGTATAATATATTCTGATGATATAAATAGTTATTTTCTGTTCGACTCTCTCTCTCTGGATGTTAAGTCCCTCTCGAAAGGAATTTATTATATATTGGAGATGATTGAGAAGCTCATGCCTAATGTGTGAGGCATTGGCAAAGTAGGCATTGAAATATGAATATTATCCTCACATTCACATATTCATTAGTATATGCTAGGATAATCACTTTGGTTTGCACATTAATTAATTGGTTATTTCCTGATTGTTGTTCCCTTTATTTTCTTTTAATTGAGAGACTGGATGCCTATTTAACTTGTTTTTCTTGATAGGGAAACAAGGCTGCATTATTATTCAGCCAGGTGCTGAGAACTTTGCCACAAGACTGCCCTGCAGCTGCACCTGAAGATATTTCCCCTCACCTATGTTTTATATGCTTGCTTCATTTGGCGAATGAGCATGGCTTAACAATTAAAGACTGTGCCACTTTAGATGAGCTCTACATCGAGATGCCTCCTCGAACTGAAAGCAGTGTAGGGGTTGAGGATGTTCATCTAACAAATAATCAAGCACTGACTTTATAGAGTATATGGGGCCCTGTATATCAATGACAAAGGGTGTTCATATTCCTAGCGAGTGCTAGTAATTCCTTTTTTGCTCGTCTCACCTTTCTTTCTGAGTGTATGATTTTGTGGTACATTGTATCTTCTTTATACCTTTCATTGGTTATGCAATTCTAGATTGTCGGCATTAATAGGAGATATGTACTTTATGCCATGTATCCTTATTTATGAATATTGCAAAATGAATTGATACGGAATGTGACTGCAATTTGGAGAAATTTTTCACTGTTAATTCATGGTGATCCTTCGATGGGATAAAAAGATCTATGCAATATTTGGAAAGTTTCAAATTCCTTCTCCTAATGGTTACTATTTGCACCTAAGCCTTCTCTTCAAATTTGAAAATAAAATCTGAGCGGGATAACTGTGCAGGAGGTGAGCAGCACACCAGGCAAGGGAATGTGAATGTATGTTTGGAGGGGTCTTCAACCTTTACGTGTTGAATAATCAATTTCAGGTTCGATCTTGGTGCATAAGCTGAAGCACCTACTCTAGAATCTATCTCAGAGATGAATTTTGGATCCGAAATTTTACGTGTCAATAATCTTGACCACCACGATCATTAATTTTAAAAAAAGGAGGAAATTTACAATTCCTCTAGCTTTTGGTGAGTTGCTTTGTCAAGATTTGGATTCTGATTTGGATTTATTTTAATAAATAGGAAAAGCCTGTAAGAATTTAAACTGGAGACCATCCTAAAACCACTTTTGTCAGAAAAGAGCAATACAGATTGCGAATCTCTCTCAACTACCAGTATAGCAACACTTAAAATAAAATAATACAACTAGTGTAGCATATTGTCAAACTTTCCAACATCACTTGCCAACTTGCTTAATTGATATTTTCAGTATGGGTTCGATTACTCCCTTAAACAAGAAACACATCTAAACGTGCTTTCAGTGGTTACAATACAAAATGGTACTCAATTTATAAAAAAGGTGCGGTTTGTATAAGGGTGAGGCCCTAAATAGCGGTGGCAACTGGACTTGGACCTGAAAATATAGTGCAGGATTGAGACTTGGACCCGACCAAAAAATTTAAAATATCTATGTATCTAGTTATATTAAGATATATTTTACATATTGGGACCCAAAAAATATTCCGGGACTCAAACCCAGACCTAGACCCGAATAGCCCTTGGGTCCCAGGTCAGGTCTGGGTCCATTGCCACCTTGACCCCTAAACAATCAAAGTAAGGTGTACCTTCAAATAGTGTCGAAAGATGTTGTTTTCGTTCTGGAAATCTTTATGATGGCTTGAAAATTTATTTTTATCTCTAATTATAAAATTTAAAGCTTTATAATTAGTGTAGATCGAGCAGATCTACAAACATTTGAAATTTTTGAAAATTGACGGTCTAGAAATGCTTTACAAAATGCACTATTTTCAAAACTTGAAATCTATTTTTTCTCATGTCCATACATCTTAAAGTTGAGACGATCGATTTGAGGATTTTTGGGAGTTTAAACATCCTCTTCTAGTAAATTTTAAGTTGCGCCCTAATTTGATTGTTTAGGGCCTCACCTTTATATGACATTTTCGGTTATAAAAGTTGTACCCAATTTACAGTAAGGAAAAAGTTAGCATAGGATTTGGTGCCAAAGCTTTCAAATTCCGCTGGAAAATGCAGTTTTGGTGCCACAACTCTCAAATTGATTATCTTGACATTGATAATTATGGAAATGAAAAAAAAAACATTTTAAGTCTTAAAGCAATGTATATTGTAATACATTATTTGGACAATTCAAGTGTTCACTGGTCCTGAGCATTGTGATAAACATTTCTCTTTCTTCATTATTGATAATTACAACATAATTCCATTTCTTGAAATCTTGGGGAGAAGCAAAAGTATCAGGAACAGTAGTGGTTCTGGAGCTTCTTAGGAAATTACGAGGACATCGTTCCAAACTTATCTCACATCAAGTAGACATGGACGTGGACATGGGTTAGGGAAAGGTAGGAACCATAGTGGTCCTTCCAAGCGTATGCACATTCCAAGAGAAGTTGCTTTTTTAAGTTAAGGTTAGGAAGTGCTGGCTTTAATGTCTAATTCTTCTCTATTTATGTCTCTTCTATCATCCCTCAGCTCTCCATTTGGCTATTATGATAAATTTGTCATGCCTTTCAATAGGTTGGCATGGGCCGGTTGACCTGGCCTTGAAAGGCTAGGGTTTGGGCTGCAAAATGAGGTCCAAGGGATAGGCTAGGGCCAGGCCACCACTGCCTGAGGAGGATAGACCAAAGTTGAACGTAGGCTAGGTTCGGCCTAATTTAGCACTTTTCTCTTCCTTATTTTTTTTTGTTCACTTCTATTATGTTCGGTCTGGCTTAATCTGGCCTGATCGGCTGGGGCCAGGACTAAGCTTGAGCTGGCTATATAAAGACTAGGGCCAGGCTAGGGCTAGGCTGGCTGGGCTGGCATTGCCAGTTGGGTCTCTCTACCCCTTTCTTCTCTCTCTCAAACGACATTAATTTCTTGATATTTGGAGCCTCCTCCCTCTACTATTTAGTCCCTTTCTTCTACTATTTGGTGCGGATTGTATAGAGCCTAAATTAGAGCCTACTTTTAAATACTACTGAGAATGTGGTTTTAATATTGAAAATTTTGTGATAGCTTTAAAATATATTTTTATTTTTATTTATAAAGTGTAAAATTTAAAAAATAATATCTATAAACAAATCTATAAAAACTTCAAAATCTTGAAAATTGATAGTCTAAAAATACATTACAAAATACACTACTTTCAAAACTTGAAATTCATTTTTTTTCTAATGCCCACGCATCTTGATGTCGAGATAATCAATTTCAGGTTATTTAGGCATCAAAACAACATCTTTTAGTGAAATTTTTAGAGATAAACTCTAATTTAATGGTTTAGAGCCTCGGCTCTATATAAACTTTTCCCTTTATTGAATCGTGGATCCTTTTTTATCTAAAGAACAAGTGAGAAAAGCACCTCTACTTTTCCACTCTACGATGGAATGTCTCGAATATCCCTAATAATCTAAACAAACACACACTTTACACGAAACAACGTGGGGGGCACGCTTTATCTCATCTCCATTAAGTTCATTAATCCAAAACCCTGTTAAAAAACAAATCAACAAAAGAGAGAAGCAAGAGAAAAAAAGGGAAAAATAACCTTAGTGTTCTTAAATCTTTGTCATTGCAATCCTCCTTGATAAAATGAGGGCCAGCTTATTGATAAGATAAAAAAAAATTGTTTATTATAAAGTTACTTATAAGTGGAATAAGAAGTTCATAATCACTTTTAGTGGTCAAATACAAAATTTTATGGCAAGAACTTCCGGAAATAATATTGGGAATCGTAGGTTTCTATTGGGAATCTTCTATTAATTTATGCTAAAGAAACCAATAACTGTTCATATTATAAGCACATAAAATTCACAAAATTTACCACTCCATATCATGATTTTCAGTAGTGTGACAATAGGGAGCTCACTCAAATTACTGGAGGATCCCAATTGTGGAAAACAAAATTAAAATGTAAACTAAACGTATTAAGATGCAATTTATCAAGGGTAATCTGGCATTTTATCCCTTTGACGGTGGATGGTGAACCCCCTTCAAAGAAGAGGGAGAGAGAGAGAATTGATGGTGGTTGGGAGAAGGATGAATGGTGAAACCCCCTTCAAAGAAGCGATAACATAAACTGTGTGTGAGAGAGAGAGAGGTGAAACCTTTCAAAGAAGTGACAATATATACTATGACAGAGAGAACAGAGAGAGAGAGAGAGAGAGAGGAGGAAGTGTACGTAACCTTACGAAGTAGTGACAATATATACTGAGAGAGAGAGAGAGAGAGAGAGAGAGAGAGAGAGA